TGCCATATCAGTAAATGTCTTGCCAAGATATAGTATTGTATTTGGCATGATGAATATTTGGAATGTAAGAGCGAAAACTAAAAGCATAGCGATTGGTGCGTTTATAAGTTTATAACGTAATAAATGTAAAACTTGTGTAACAATGTTTTTTATAAAAAAAAAACATGCACGAATTACGTTAACTGAACGAAAAGATGGCAAAGATAGTAAATTCTAACGAAGAACTGATAGATATCGACGACGAAGCACAGAATGCAAACCAACAGACTGGCTACGCTTGGGAAGAGGAATATAAGCGTAGCTGGGATGTTTTACAGGAAGACGAAGACGGAAGTTTAAAACATACCGTCGAACATCTTCAAAATCGCAAACGAAAGAGGTTCGAGCTTCTAAATGCAGAAATGCTTAACACTTATCTCCGTTAATATGATTTCAAAACTTGTGATTGTATAGGTTAGAACGTGATACGTCTATAATTAAACGTGGGATTATAAGACACATGTTCCTAATCATAGATCTATCAGAAGCTATGTTGGAAAAGGATCTCCGACCTTCTCGTTTGGATTTGACATTATCTTACGCAGAACAATTCATTTTAGAGTTCTTTGATCAGAATCCTATAAGTCAACTTGGGATTATTGCTTCAAAAAGTGGTGTTGCCGAGAAACTTATGGGATTGTCTGGTAAAAAAATATGCTATATTATTATGTTATTATATAGGTTAATTCATGAGCATTCAGATGATTCTTAATTTCTCATCGTATAGGTAATCCCATGGATAATATAAATGTTTTAAAAAAAAGGAACATTGATACGGATGGTGAACCTTCCTTGCAGAATGCACTAGAAATGGCTCGATCTTCGTTGATGTAATTACTCGTATTATTTATAAATGCATAAAACTGCCATTGTTTGTGATTTACCGATACCTTTTAAACCTTTTTTAGTCATGTTCCAGCTCATGGATCACGAGAAATTTTGATAATAATGGGATCTCTGACGTCGTGTGATCCTGGAGATATTAACGAAACCATCGATAATCTAGCGTCGGAAAATATACGCGTCTCAATTGTTGGATTAGCAGCAGAAGTTCAGATATGCAAGCTTATGTGTAAGAAGACTAAAGGTAATTAGCTAGACAGTGTTCATTCATATTAAATTATATTTCGTGTATTTAGTTCAAATTTATATTTTTTTATTTTTTATTTTTTTTTTAGGGACATACGGAGTTGTTCTTAACGAAGCTCATTTTAAAGATTTACTTTTTGAAATAATACCACCACCTCCAGTATCTGTTGTCAAAAGTAAATCTGAATTGGTTGTTATGGGATTTCCAAGGGGGGTTAATGAGTCGGTACCCTCATTATGCGCCTGGTATGGTTATGTTGTATATATCGAATGTCGTTAAAGGGATAAGTGATCTTTGACAGATTTGTAGTATTGATTGCACAGCCATTCGAAGCCTGTTTCTGGTGGTTATATATGCGCTCGATGTACTTCAAAAATATGTGATTTACCCACCGATTGCCCAATATGTGAATTGACTTTAGTGTCAAGCCCTCATTTACCCCGATCATATCACCACCTATTTCCGGTTGCAAATTTCGAAGAGGTTCCTTGGAGCAGGTTTGTCCTCTTTATCTAACTTACAATATTTTTTAATGATAACTTTCAAAGATCCCATGTATATAATTTCGGACCATATAGTGCTTTTACAACACATTGCTTCTCATGTCAAATGCCCTTTCCAACTCAACCGCAAGTTATGATTGGGCGTAGTAGTAATATAACGTCAATAGATTCTAGCGGAAGATACAATTGTCCCAAATGCAAGAAGCATTTTTGTATTGAGTGTGACACATTTATACACGAAGTCATACATAATTGTCCTGGATGTCTTTCAACATCGGAAATAGCATATAATTAACTACATAGAATAAAAATTTCTTATGGAGATAGTTTTCTTTTCATGGGTTATTATTTCACCAATAGTGGTAAATTATTTGAGGACTTACAAACAAAAGAAATGGTAAACATGTCATGATGAGAATGAATTTAATTTGTACAATCGAAATATAGTAACGATAATTCCGTTGATTATTAATAAATTAATAAAGATTAGAGAACTAATAGACTTGTCACATTGTCACATTGCTATTTATAGTGGGAAATTTTCTCACATTTCGAAAAAGCCTGGGGATCGGTGTATAAAATTCATGTACAGTGTCAGACAAAAGTTTTCTCGCACCTATATCTGCTTACAGAGAGGTGTTACAGCCTTGAAATTTTTCAAAAATTTAGTAAATAGTTAGCCTAGGTTGTGTATTTTTTTTTTGTAATTTTTTAATCACTAGAAAAAAATTTAGATGAGAGCTAAAGTTTTGAATATTTTTTTTTATAAAAAATTAAAAAATTAATTGAGTTCAATTAAAAATTAATAAAAAATCAGAATTATGTTTAAAAATTCTTAATGTTTAGTATGTTAAAATTCAATGATTTTTATACTAGTGATAGAAAATTTGACTCAATTTGATGAGACAGTTATTGAAAAATTAATTTTTAAAGTTTAAATTTTAGGGGAATTTACATATAAGGGCCCAAAAAATGAAAATAATTACAAATTGGGGCCCAAACTAAAAGTAATTACATATAAGGGC